TAACCTTAGATCCAACAAATACATTCGCACGAGCTATATAGTTAACCACAACAAAGTATTATTGGATAAGAAGGATTTAACCTTAGATCCAACAAATACACTCGCATTGTACTTCTTTATATGCCTGATTGAAATTATAAACATACTTATTGTGATGTATTGCCAAAAAAAATATTTTTGACAGGGGGTTATTTATCGCTAGCTTAGGGCATTTTGTCCAGAAAATGAGAATAATGTTTAGAGGAAACACTTAGGCCCATTGGAATAAGGGACAATGGGTTTGTTTAGCATAGCACACGTGTAAAGAGGAAAGGAAACATTAACAGGGTACATCCTTTATATCCTAATCTCCAGTACTACCGTTGCTTTTTATTGTGTTTGATGCATTAAACTCATATATATATAATTACGGTCCTTAATTTTTAATATTAAATAGCTGAGACTTATATGAATGAAAATTAAAGAACAACATTTAAAACGTATTCGAACTCTGTTACTATACTAACAATCAGATAAAATAATTATATTAGTATACATTAAAGTATTGCTACTCGACTTCTACAGTGTTTGTTTGTTCGGTCGGTGACTACACGTCTAACTATATGTACCCTAAAGAAAATATTCTTACCTTGTAAAAGTATTAGCCAGATAACATACGTAAACATGATAGATACCACGCAGTAAACGTCCGTGCTCAACACGTGAGTCGCCAACAGCACTCGCACGTAAAGAATGTCACCGAGAAAAGATGTTAGTCAATTTCACCTGTCTCTTCACTTGCTGACGACAGCGCGTCCTAGTGTCGAAATTTATAAGCTCCCGAGCTTGACTTTTGTTTCTAACACCTATTTAATATAATGATTTTGTTTTTTGACTTTGTGGAATGTTAATATGAACTTCTGAAGCTTGATTGGCAGTTAGTTAATTACATAAACATACCGTTCGTCGAATAACCTGATCGTTAGCCAAAGAGACAAAGAAGGGATCTAAGTTTAAACTCTTTATAATCTTGCCATGATTTTACAATCATGGTTAATTTAACACTAATTAGCGGTTTAGAACATCCCTTAATCAGCAACAACATTTTTATCGGCTACACGAATTTCCCTCGAGAACTATTGTTATCGTACATGTATGGTGATAAGTTGGGGTAATTAATCTTTCCACCAAAATAGTAAGCCAACAAAAATCAAATAAACACTCATCACTTTATTCGAATTTGAAGTGAAAATTCACCCATTCTCTTGCAGTGGCAGTTCCATTTGATACTGCTCAATAACGACAAATGAGACGCTTGCCATAAAATTAAAAGGGAACGTCCGTGGAAATTTGAAGTGAAGGAATAAACACATTAAAAAGGAACAAGAATTATGTATCGTATGAGTAATAAGGTCCTACAGACAGATGCATTCTGTAAGCAGTGGAGGATTAGACTGATAAGGGTGTTTTCCTAAGATAAATCACTGCACCAAACCAAACTTCACAAGACATCATTTTTAGTGTTGCGGGTCTTCGGTGATAACTACCTTTAGTGGAAATATCCTAACCTTTTGACTCCACCTTCTCGCGTGCAGCTGGGAGGGCGTGTTCTTCCGTTCACATGCGTGTTGAGAACTGATAATCTAGCTTATCTAGAAATTGTGAACACCTGCCATTATTATCAACTCCATTTACACAAGCCGAGTTTGTAATTCCCGCTAGAATAACGAAAGATAACGTATTCAAGTGATGGAACTCTGTAATAAAGACCACGAAAGGCCAGGGGCCGAAAAAAAGAAGACCGCGCTGTAAACCCCATTAAAGTCCGGTTTCAAAGTTGGTATTGAATCAGAGAGTTTTGAAAGTTAAATTTTAGCTCAAATTATCAAATAAAGCGATATTTCGTCCTTTAATAATGAAAAAACATATTAGCCTTGCTTACATGGAGTCAAAGTTTTAAAGTAAATATACACCTGAATGATGAAGTCACGCAAGACGGACGCTGGTGTATTTATCTCCTGCATCGAAAGACTTCATTCAAGAGCGACTGATAATACTACTTTTGGTTAATTAAGGAATCAATTTGATTGTCCTGGGGGAAGAAAGTGTGCTTTAAAACATGACACAATCTGTTGCAGACGTATAAACGAAGCACGACATATAGTTATCAAGGTTTTATTTTCTTGTTACATTTATAGCATAAAATAATCTTTACTTGGCCCACTTTGACAGCGTGCCATACGGGTAAGGTATGGCTGCATGGCTAATATTAAGGAACTCATCCTTCAACTTTCGCGATATAAATAAATTACATTTTAAGTCATCTCATAACTCGAGTGTTTTTTAGAAACCAGAACTGTATTGGGAATGAGCGAGAAGCAGGAAATGTGGGATTAGTAGACCATCCTGAAGATGCGGCAGATTTTAGAGTCAAAGTAAATAAGAATGTAATAATACCGCAACTACACACTATATCTTATATATTCAGTGCCGTATTGGCCTTTCGCTCAGTACCAGGGCTCATCGATTACTTATGTTTAGTTGTTTGTATTGTAGTTGGTGCTTGTTCGTAGAGACTCCAACCACATGCTACACAATAGAATGCTCTACATATACCACGTCATCACAGTGGCCTTCTGTTCAATTGCTGTTGGCCCGGCATGGCCAGGTAGCTAGGGCACTCGACTCGCAATCTGAGGGTCGCGGGTTCAAATCCTCGTCACACTAAACATGCTCGCCCTTTCAGGCGTGGGGGCGTTATAATGTAACGGTAAATCCCACTATTCGTTGGTAAAAGAGTAGCCCAAGAGTTGGCGGTGGGTGAGGAGGACTAGCTGCCTTCCCTCTAGTCTTACACTGCTAAATTAGGAACGGCTAGCGCAGATAGCCCTCGTATAGCTTTACGCGAAATTCAAAACAAACTAACAAACAAACAAAACAATTGCTGTCTTTAATATTAACAAAGTTACTGCAACTTAAGCCCCAGAAATTCTGGTTTCTCGTACGCTTGTCAGTAAGTTAGACTAGTAAGGTTTACACGTGGTTGACACGTATGTCTCGTAATGTATGACAGGAAAAACTTTCTGTTCGAAACATCAGTACGGCATAAACTTTGCAACTTTTAACACACTGTTTTCAATTGGTATACAGTTGGTTGTTATCGTAAGTAGCAGCGCAGTAACCTTCGCAACTTCATATGCTGTTGATAACCATAAATAATAAATGTCCTTCTTAGCGTGTCTTACAGAGACTGAGCGAAAAATACACGTAAGCAAAGTAAAGCCTTCAATGTACTCTGAAATTTTGGCGACCAGGAGCAATAATTTTTTTTTGTTCCTTTGATTTCATTTCCGCCAGAACTGAAAAGTTGATGTGCTTTAATGTTAGAGTAAAATATATCGCATAATTTTTATGCATACTAATATTTTCAGTGGATTGCAGGCATAAATTATATATGTTTAAAAATTGCACTGTTTTTTCAGAGTACACGGAACCGGCCAGAAAAAAAACTAAAAGAAAAACAACTTTCAATAGACATAGTAAAGATTTATACGTCTCACGTGGCGCAGGGGAAATCGATGGCAATGATAAATCAGTAAATAGAACCGTTCCTGGTTGTTTATCCTCCATTTCGTTTTCAAACGTTTTCCAATGTGTGCACACATTTCAATTATTCATATATTATAGTCATTATTATATGAACTTAAAATACCAATTTTACGATATAAACATATCCATACATACTTTTGGCCCTATTCAGACTAAATGAAAGAAGCGAGATTTTCTAAAAAAGTAAAAAACGAAAAATACAAAAAAATAACAACGTATTTTGATATGGTTAACCTAATTGCTTTAAACTATTCCGCATTTATTGAAATTGTTCCAAAATAACATATTTGATTTACTGAAGAATCTATAAATGGAGCTAATCATACATCAGGCTGTATTTTATCTCATTTTATAGGTAATGTATTGAATTGAACCTGTCTATTGTGAAAAACATTAGCAACAAAAATATTTCTGTACAGTTGAGGATACTACACAACTAACGCAGCATCTTTATTTGCTATAGCCTCGCAGTGGCACAGCGTTATGTCTGCGGACTTATAATGTTAGAAGCCGGGTTTCGATACCCGTGGTGGGCAGAACACAGATAGCCCATTGTGTAGCTTTGCGCTTAACTTCAAACAAACAAACAAACAATTATTTACTATAGTAGCGACCTCTACAGAAGTATATTTGTAATGCCAAATTTCAGTTATGTATTAAAGTAAACATTTAAATCAGTCAGCTGCAGTTACTTGACGCATGAATACACTTGTTTTATCAGTCAGCTGCAGTTACTTGACGCGTGGATACACTTGTTTTATCAGTCAGCTGCAGTTACTTGACGCGTGGATACATTTGTTTTATCAGTCAGCTGCAGTTACTTGACGCGTGGATACACTTGTTTTATCAGTCAGCTGCAGTTACTTGACGCGTGGATACATTTGTTTTATCAGTCAGCTG